GGGGGTGTCTGATATAGGTCAGGGGGGTGTCTGATCTAGGTCACAGGGGTGTCACGTTTTACTGCTTTCTTCGAAAAGAGTTTCTCGTGTGATCTATGCTCAGGTTGTGGGTAGAGAGGTTTGGGTTTGGGCCAGTTGTAGTTGTTCTGGGGGCCGTCAAAAGCTCTGTCGTCGTGTAGTACAGAAAACGACAATGCAATTGGAGGCGAGACAACGTAACACCCCTCCGACGTAGAAGAGTCTCAGAAAGTATGAATAAAAGGTCAGCCAGTGTGCAGATGGGCCGGGAAACATTAACTGGACCAAGGGAAAAAAACAGATAACGACAGATGAAAGCGATCCCCTGTGGGATCTGGGGCCCTATATTAGGGAAAACAAGAACAGACCCACTGCGTACCCAAACGAATGTCATAAGAGTCTATACTAATTGGCAGCTTCCTTCGAAGTCTGTGTGCATCTGCCTGAGTGGCAAGGAACCAACAGTCTGCATACAAATAAGTTAGATCTATAAAACTGATGCACATGAAACACTTAGGTTCTGGAACGGGACTACAGTCCAGAAGTGAACGAACAATCATAACTTTCCGCTGGAGTTTACAGCTGGTGAACGCGAAGAAGAAGAAGAAGAAGAAGATAAAAGCGATATTAGATTGTCTTGCATTATGGTAGGTATGTTAGTAAGCGAAATAATAATAATGGACGATGGAGCTGCGGTAATGACGTGGTCAGACACTCGCTTGCTGTTAAAAGGTTCTGGGATCAAATCCGCATCGATCTTTTCTTGTCCTAATAACTGGTATCTTGGACAAAGAAGATGAGAAATATTGACATCTTAAAAGATCTGAACATCAAGGAAGATTAGCTAATAAACAGCATCCTTTCTCGAAAACTGAAATATTTTGGTCATATCAAGCGCCACGACGGATTGGAAAAAATTATAACAGAAGACATGGTACCAGGAAGGAGGGGCAGGGGTCGACCTACACGAAGATGGACACAGGATATAAGTGACTCCTTGAGTGTGAAAGTTCATGAGGCGGGAGAACTGGCAAGAGACCGAGTTTCTTACAGGCAGACTGTGATGAGAGCGACGTTCTGCAAAGGACCTGCTACATGATGATGAATAACCGACCTTGGTTCTCGTGTCGGACCAGCCTAATGGATACCAGGTAATGTCCTAGGAAGTAAAAGTGGTCGGCATGATGTTGATCACATCAGCCATCGAGGGTCGACTGGTCAATACAACTGGTCATACGTGCGAAAGGATCCGGTTCCTCTTTACTTATTAGAGGACTACGGACGATGGTAGAGCGGATGGCTTGTTTACATGCAGTCACTTAGCAGCTGGGTTGAAATCCGTTCCAAAATGATTTATTTCATAAACACGTTTCTTGCTGTACATGTCCCACACAATGTCCAGGGATCTTCTTCTCCTCCACCTTCATCAGCAATATCATAATGATCGTGACCATTGTCATCATCATAATCATCCTTGTCATCTTCTTCTCCATCTTCATCAGCATTATCATAATCATCGTGACCATTGTCATCATCATAATCATCATTTTTATCTTCTTCTCCATCAACATCTACATAATCATCATGTTCATTGGCATTATCGTCATCATCATCATCTCATGGTCATTGCCATCATCATCATCATCATTATCTCATGGTCATTGTCATTATCATAATCATCGTTATCATTGTCATCATCATCATAATATTCTTCTTCTTCATCTCCTCTTTCTCCTTCTCCATCTTCTTCTTGTTCGTGTTCTTCTTCTTGTTTTTCTTGTTCTCCTTGTTATTGTTCTTCTTCTTCTTCTTCTTGTTCTTATTTTTTTCCTTATCCTCCTCCTCCTTCTTCTTAAAACGACTGGTCAAGAGCAGACACTGTCAACCCCCCCCCCCCCCCCCCCCCCCCCCCCCCCCCCCCACGTTATTTGATATTTCTCTGAAGTTGGTGTCGTGATTGATAATTCCTCTCTGGTAATTATCGCTTCTATCTTTCCTGCCTCTTTTGCCCATTATTTTCTCTCACGATGTCCCGCTGCCCGATGTTTTAGCAAATAAAGTATTTATTATTGAGACCCAAATAAAAATCCGAGTACTTACTGAGCCTACAGACGGCATCTTCCATGTTGATGATGCCTCGATAAGGATTGAGTATGAGCTTGTAGATTGCTGCAGAGACCACACCTCCAGCGATGGGACCCACCCAGTAGATCTGTGGACAGACCAAACAAGTTGAGAACGGCGTTGATAGTGTTCTGTGGCACTCAGATTCAATAAAGTAGTGTGGTTTGTAAAGGATAACTAAGAAGAGACAGATGTAGATCAAAGTAGATGAGAATGATGTGGATGGTACTCTGTGGCACTCAAAGTCGTTACACGAGTTCCCTGTGCGCGTTCCGCGGTCCCACTGTGGGAAACACAAGAAGAGACCCACTGCCTCCCCAACAAGCATGTCGTAAGATACGACTAATGGTGGGTTTCCTTCAAAGTCGGAGTGCATCTGTCTGAGAGGCAAGAAACCAACAGTTTGCACACAAATAAGCACGATTTATAAAACGGATGCGCACGAAATACTAAGGTCCTGGAACAAAGCCAAAGTCGAGAAATGGACGAACAACCAGGTGTTTCGCCGGGGTATATATCCGGTGAGTGCAAACAACATTACAGTAGTATAAACATGAAGAACCTTTGGTACACCACCTGCAAGCAAGTTAAAGTAAACAATTTCAGATCATGCATTTTCCCCTGGAAACTCATGGATGTCAGTCATGGACTCTCACTCAGATTATGAAAGAGAAAATCCGAGCCTTTGAACTGAAATGCTGTAGGAAAATCATAGAGTACCAAGGACCAAGAAGAAGAAAAACACGGACAGCCTACACTACCTGAACATCAAGGAAAACTGGCTCATAAACAGCATCCTGCCCTGAAAGTTGAGGTGATTTAGACAGGTCAAGCGCCATGTTCGTCTGGAGAGAACGGTGATGGGGGGTGCAGTTTCCGGGAAACGAGTAGAGGCCGACCGACGTTTATGTGGATACAGGACATTGGAGATGCATTGACTATTAAAGCACACAGGGCTGAAGAATTGGCTACAGAAAGAGACTTTCATGCGTGCCGTGAAGAGAGCGACGTTCTGTAAAGGACCTGTTTATTGATTGATTGATTGGCACTAGTACAGTTTTGAACCATATCTAAGATGATACCTGTTGAAAAAAAGCTAAAAAACAAGAACAATCCCTTTTTGTTTGTGCTTTCCCCCCTAGAATTTGGGGAGGGTGGGAAGGGGGAGAGGGGGTATTTCTTTTACCTCTGCAGAATAGGGCCTGGAACATAAATAAATAATTCATTTACTAAATCCAGGCTATGACCAGAGCCGGATTAACCATTAAGCACACCAAGAGCGTGCTTGGGGCTTTGTGAAGGAAAGGGGGTACCATAGAAATGTATCAAAAGCCTTGGAGCTAAGCGTTCATTTTCTCAGCAAAGTATATTTTAAAATTCCATTAGAACACTACAAAAAGGCAGGCCGGATGCCTTATCTCTATTAAGTATAGAAGCTGATGTGTTACAGGCAATTAGTTTGAGAATCCGATCAAGACTTTACAAGTTAAAAAAAAAAAAATATTAGAAAACTTTAAATGTAAATAAAGTAGAAGTATATGAAATAGACATTATTTTCTATTTTACTGTAATTTTTCTTTTTTTTCGATAAATAAAACTGTTGATTTGTTATTGTTTATATTGTGAATTACACACACACACATTTATATAGGTACCTGTGGTGTATTAACACATGGGCATGCTGGGCACTTTCCGGGTGGTGGGGGGCACTAGCATAGGGGCCCATGCTAATCTGCTTATGTTAAGTGACAATTTACATTGCTTTCCCGTGAATGGTTGTAGTAGGGGGCCCCAGCACATTGCTTTGCCCAGGGGCCCATAATACTGTTGAGACGGCTCTGGGTGGGGAGAAAGGGATGGGCAACATTTCAAGTGTCTAGAACATCAAAGAGTCTCAATGTGTCCCTGGCTATGACTCTGGCAAACAAACAGATATTGTGGAATGGCACAGGGCATTTCACCTCATTATGCCTTGACCTAATATTTTCAAAATCCTCAACAGAACAACAATAACTACTACGCTATCACAGCAACCTGTCTGACGTCGTCACTATTTAAACAAAAAAATCTGTACAACATCCCCATCAAACTTCAAACTCACCAACAGCAATTTATATCCCATTAGTGGTCAACAGAAAATCAATGCGCACTCGAAACAACACGTCAGAGTAACAAACACTCAACATATCAACTCACCCAGTGATTATCCCAAGCGTTGGACACCACTGCCGACCCCAGGGATCGCGAAGGGTTCATACTGGCTCCTGTGTAGCAGATCTGTTTGGAGAAGATAATCAGACGTCAACTTTGGCGGTCTGTGGCGTTGCCGCCCTCAGCTGTGTTAGTATTCGCTATATATATTAATATGCATGGCTCTCATTTCGTTTGTTTTTACTAGCAATTTTACTTCGTCAGTACCTCACTTAATACAGAATAACGGCAGAAACATAAAAACAAGAGAGAGAGAGAAAGAGAGAGAGAGAGAGAGAGAGAGAGAGAGAGAGAGAGAGAGAGAGAGAGAGAAATAAAGAATACAGTACAACAGATAGGAAGAGCTGCATGAAATGACAAAGGATAAGTGAAATGTGGTCAATTTGATGAGGGTTTATGCTCCACTAACCACTAATGTTACAGACAGGTTCTAAGAATATCTTGGGTAAAGAAAAGAACAAATGCATCCATACTTCAAGAGCTGAATATTGAAGAGGGTTGGCTAGTAAAGACAATAAAACAAAGAAAATTGAAATATTTTGGTCACTTGAAAACGTCATGGAAGTCTAGAGAGAACAATAATGGAGGGGTATGCTGCCTGGGAAGAGAGGAAGAGGAAGGCCAAGGAGAAGATGGGTGCAGGATGTGGCAGATGATCTCCAGATGGGTGGACGCAGGACATCTTGCTCAGGATAGAAGGTTTTTCCGGAGGGTTGTTATGGCAGCGAGGTTCCGCGAGGGACATGCTACTGAATGAATGAACCAGAGAGGATGAGGATGATGAAGAGGAGGAGGGAGGGGGGGAGGAGGAATAAGAAAAAGAGTCAGAAGAAGAAGAAGAAGAAGAAGAAGAAGAAGAAGAAGAAGAAGAAGAAGAAGAAGAAGAAGAAGAAGAAGAAGAAGAAGAAGAAGAAGAAGAAGAAGAGAAGAAGAAGAAGAAGAGAAGAAGAAGAAGAAGAAGAAGAAGAAGAAGAAGAAGAAGAAGAAGAAGAAGAAGAAGAAGAAGAAGAGAAAGAAGGAGAAGGAGAAGAAGACGATGCAGCAGCAGCAGCAGCAGCAGCAGAAGAAGAAGAAGAAGAAGAAGAAGAAGAAGAAGAAGAAGAAGAAGAAGAAGAAGAAGAAGAAGAAGAAGAAGAAGAAGAAGAAGAAGAAGAAGAAGAAGAAAAAGAAGAAGAAGAAGAAGAAGAAAAGAGACTTGTACGTTCGTTTGTTCTTCATTTGCACCTTCCTTAGCTAGTTTATCATTTTTCATTTCCATGAACTCCATGGTGGAATGGTTTTCATTCGTTACCTTACACAGGCTGCCTAGTTTGGAGAGTAGTGTTCGTATACCAAGTAATTTTCCAGACTGGAGTGCCTGAAATACCGCTCTCGCATCTGTCAGAAATACCACGGCTTTGAAATATGACGTATATTTAACAGATTCCCTGCTGCTAATTTGATGGCTTGAACTTCTGCATCATAGTTGTGACAGTGCTTGCCTGTAGGTATTTTGGCTGTACACATGGTATTGTTTGGATGCTCTGTGTATACTCCTGCTCCTCCATTTCTGTTTGCATTTTATGCTGACCTATCCATGTAGACACGAACCCGAAAAACCCGTGGGTATTTATCATCAAGTAGGGCGAGGGTGGCTGTTTTACGTTGCACACTGTTTTGTTCTTCCTTGTCGTTTAACTTATGTCTGGATGTGTATTGGCAACTTATAATCCTCTTTCCAAGGGGTCTGATCTGAAATAGCTTTTAAGGGGCTATCACTTGTAGGGAGATCATTGGTTTGCCTGCAGAGTCGTTGGGTCTGGTGGATGAAACTGCTTCTTTTTAGTCGCCTAATTGCTAGATTTTAACATCTTTTTTCATAGGGTGTTCAGGCATGCTAAGAAACTTGTCGGTGTGTATTAGTATCTTAGTGTCTCTTAGTTCTGTCAGTGTTACTTGAAGCATAGTCTTTACAATCGAATCATGTCTCATCCCGTGCCCGAACCAACGTTTCATCACTGCCAAAAGAGGCTCCTAATGCACAGCTTCTACTTCTTTCTTCTTCTTCTTTCTTCTCTTCTTGTGCCGCCTCACTGATACCAGGTTGTATTTGTCTTGTGCTCCTCGTGTGGCTTGTTGATGGATATATTCATGTTTACAGGCTTTAGCTACACCATTTATCCATATCTTTGTTGGTCTTCCTCTCGCCTTCTTCCCTGTTCTACTGTAAAATGCTCATATGCAGTTTGGTCTGGATGTATTCTCACTAGATGGCAGAACAATTTAATTCTGTTTTTGTCAATAGTCTTTTTCCAAATTTCTCTCTAATGCTGGTATTCGTAACATTGTCTCCTCTAGTGTTGTTAGGGACCTTGCGGAGACAGCACATTTCACATGTTGTTATTTTCTGTTCTAGTGCCTTGTTCATTTCCCATGTCTGGCATTGATAACATAACGAATGGAGCTGTTAATCATTTATTGTTTTGCTGGAAGGGAGACGTTTGGGTGTCCTGCGAATTTGTTTAATTTATCCCATATATATTTATTAGTTTCATGTTCTAAATACATGAGACTTGTCCCAGTTAGATATCCCAATACATCTGAGCCTTTCCCTGCTAACTGTCCCCACATCTATTTCACTTACCCCGGACAGATGTCCAAGTGTAACGGTCAAGCCAATCAGAAGTGCCGGACTGCCAAAGCTGGCCCTGTTGGGGTCAGTGGTTCCAAAGATGACCGTTACCAAACAGAAGGTCAGCATGAACTCTACCCCGAAACCTTGAACTTGGCTGATGTCTGTCCCCAAGTTGGTAACTGCCAGGTTGCCATGGAATTTGGCCGGCGTTAGTCTGGCAGAAAATGGTTTTACAATGATATCAAAAACTATTTAAAAATGTGTGTAACAAAGATGTCTTAAACATGATATAAATACAGTTATAACACGGTCAACGACAATAGTTCGTTCAATAATTACAACGTTAGCCCAAATATTCGTTAGCCGAAACGTGATTTTCCCGTAGGTCTGAGTTCACAGTGCGACCGTCTTATGTTAGCGAGCATATCCACTGAAACATTCGCTAGCCAAATCTACATTCGTTAGCAGAAGCCAGCAAAAAGATCACATACTGTTCGTAACAGTTGCAACCCGATAAATGCCCATCTCCTCCCCGCATCCAGTTCCTATCCCATATCTCGTCCTTTCTTCATCTTCTTCTTCTTCTTCTTCTTCTTCTTCTTCTTCTTCTTCTTCTTCTTCTTCTTCTTCTTCTTCTTCTTCTTTTTCTTTTTCTTCTTTTTTTTCTTCTTTTGCTTTTTCTTTTTCTTCTTTTTCTTCTTTGTCTTCTTCTTTTTTTCTTTTTCTTCTTCTTCTTCTTCTTCTTCTTCTTCTTCTTCTTCTTCTTCTTCTTCTTCTTCTTCTTCTTCTTCTTCTTCTTCTTCTTCTTCTTCTTCTTCTTCTTCTTCTTCTTCTTCTTCTTCTTCTTCTTCTTCTTCTTCTTCTTCTTCTTCTTCTTCTTCTTCTTCTTCTTCTTCTTCTTCTTCTCCTTCTTCTTCTTCCTTTTCTTAGCTAAACCACTGCTCAAAGTTCTGGTTGTTCGTCCACTCCTGTCTTTGGTCCTGATCCAGTATCTCAGTGTTTGATGGAAGTACCTTCCACAGAACCATCTTTTTTAAATGCAGGCTGTTGGTACCTCGCCTTTCAGGCAGAAACATTCCGATTTTGAAGGAAACACACCAAATTAATCGCCTTTTAAGACATCCTTGTTTGGGTGGTAGTGGGCCTACTCCTTGTTCTCCACAATGGAGCCACGGAACCCACACACAGTAATGCCTCTCTCGGTCTCTCCTCATGTCTGGAACGTCTAATTAATTAATCCCACCAGATGCACCTATTGAAAAAACACTTTTCAAAGCCTACCCTTTAAGAAGGAACCCGCCAACCACGGCGCCGAGCACCTGGGCACTAATGTAGAGCACTGCCCTGGCAACGGAGATGTTCATGACAACAGCCATTGCTATGGTAACTGCCGGGTTGATGTGTCCACCGCTCACGTGACCAACCATCTGAATCAGCGCCATGATGGCCAGACCAAACGCCAGGGAGATCTGGGGAGAGGAAGAAGACAATGAATAACTGGCAAGTAGTTATGCAAGACCGCAGGTTAGGGAAGGAGATTTGGAGGCAGGAATCCGTCGATGATTACCTGGCAAATAGTTATGCAAGACCATAAGTTAGGAAGGGAGATTTGGAGACATGGATCCTTCAATGAATAACTGGCAAATAGTTATACAAGACCATAATTTAGGGAAAGAGACTGGAAGACAGAAATCCATCAATGAATAACTGGGAAATAGTTATACAAGACCATAACTTAGAGAGGGGGATTTGAGGAGAGAAATAACGCAACTGTTAAATAGCAAATAGAAATACGAGACAATAATTTAGAGAGGGGGATTTGAGGAGAGAAATAAAGCAACTGTTAAATAGCAAATAGGAATACGAGACAATAATTTAGAGAGGGGGATTTGAGGAGAGAAATAAAGCAACTGTTAAATAGCAAATAGAAATACGAGACGATAATTTAGAGAGGGGGATTTGAGGAGAGAAATAAAGCAACTGTTAAATAGCAAATAGAAATACGAGACAATAATTTAGAGAGGGAGATTTGAGGAGAGAAATAAAGCAACTGTTAAATAGCAAATAGAAATACGAGACAATAATTTAGAGAGGGGGATTTGAGGAGAGAAATAAAGCAACGATTAAATAGCAAATAGAAATACGAGACAATAATTTAGAGAGGGGGATTTGAGGAGAGAAATAAAGCAACTGTTAAATAGCAAATAGGAATACGAGACAATAATTTAGAGAGGGAGATTTGGGGAGAGAAATAAAGCAACTGTTAAATAGCAAATAGGAATACGAGACAATAATTTAGAGAGGGAGATTTGAGGAGAGAAATAAAGAAACGGTTAAATAGCAAATAGAAATACGAGACAATAACTTAGAGAGGGGGATTTGGGGAGAGAAATAAAGCAACTGTTAAATAGCAAATAGAAATACGAGACGATAATTTAGAGAGGGGGATTTGAGGAGAGAAATAAAGAAACGATTAAATAGCAAATAGAAATACGAGACAATAATTTAGAGAGGGAGATTTGAGGAGAGAAATAAAGAAACGGTTAAATAGCAAATAGAAATACGAGACGATAATTTAGAGAGGGGGATTTGGGGAGAGAAATAAAGCAACTGTTTAATAGCAAATAGAAATACGAGACAATAATTTAGAGAGGGGGATTTGAGGAGAGAAATAAAGCAACTGTTAAATAGCAAATAGAAATACGAAACAATAATTTAGAGAGGGGGATTTGAGGAGAGAAATAAAGCAACTGTTAAATAGCAAATAGAAATACGAGACAATAATTTAGAGAGGGGGATTTGAGGAGAAAAATAAAGCAACTGTTAAATAGCAAATAGAAATACGAGACAATAATTTAGAGAGGGGGATTTGGGAAGAGAAATCAGGTGACGATTAAATGGTAAATATATATTTACAAGACCCAAGTTTCGATCACCAACCCGAACACTCAGTTAAATGTTTATCAGCGTTGTGCAAATCACAACTGGAACATCACTGAAGAAAACACCTAACATATAATATAACATATAACATAAAATAAATCACAACATAACAAAACCCATGATTCGTTACGGCGGTGGAGGTGTAATGGTGGAAGCAGTAGCAGTGTGCACTGAACTATGTAAAATAATGAAGTAGTCTGACTCTGTGTTGCCACTTTTCTTTGACAAAAAAAATCCAGAACGGAGTCAACAAATATCTAAATACATCTAGATTTGCGTGGAAAACATCTAGAAAACACATCTAAATGGAAAGATTCACAAATTACATAACAATTGATATGACTTACCCTTTAGAATCGTGTCCTCATCTTTACTGAAGTCTGCCTTACAAGATCCACAGGATAAACTTAGCTTGGATGATGAAGTTGAAGCTTCAGATCCAAAATGACTCTTGTATGCTTTAGCCGTTCTAATTTCTTTTAATACCCAATCAGGGAGCTGATAAGTGGAACACCCTTTTCCTACTCTTATCATTCCGAATTTTACTGTCAAGATAGCATTTAAAAGGTCTAATTTCATCCTGTTTCTTAGGTTAGATTTGATAAATTCATTCCAAAATGAAAAACATCTACAAAAATATCTACTATCTCAACGTCAAAAACGCCATCTAAATGCAAGGGGAAAAACATCTACATCTGGATGTAAAATATCCAAAGTGGCAACACTAGTCTGACTTTGTGATTCTTTCAACATGTTTGAAAGAACGAGATCTGATTGTTTATTCTTGTTCGCCTTTGTGTTCACAGACTGTAAACTCCAGCCAAACCTTCTGGCTTTTTGTTCATCCCTGGACGTTAGTCTTGTTCAATAACCCAGGTTTCGCGTGCATACCCGTTTTACAGTTTTGACTTCTTTGTGTGCAGGTTGTTGGCTCCTTGCCGCTCCGACTTCAAACAAAGCCCCTAATTAGTCTTCAAAGACAGTGGTACGAGTTGTTAGGGAATCTCGTCTTACAGCAATCATTGTATTTTTGTGCCAGAACACTCTGGTGTAAGAGAAAAGGAACGAGCGGACTGGCTTGCTGGCAGGGATACGGTATATAGGTTTTGTTTTGGAGGTTTTGAACTACGGATCAACATCATGACTTACTGGTAGGAACCCATAAGTGCTCCGTTCTTCTTCTAACTCAAGTCTGAGTATGAAGAAGCTCAGCACAATGCACAGGCTGTGTAGCACCGGCGGGGATCCTGAAATACATTGGGTAGTATTTTAACTCTAAATTTTGCCCGGGCAGCGTCGTTAGGTTACTCTTTTCGATTTCCAGCTGCCAAGGGATTTTTTTTGGTCGTGCGCAACAATACACACGGGCGTTCGAACTCACTACCCGGATACCAGAGGGGATTCTGGAAGTCCAAGTCCACGTCAAAAAATCTCAGCCATTACAGGGGATTGAACCTGGAACCTCTAGCACTCGAGGCGGACACCATGCCACGCAGCCCACTGGCCACGGTATAAAAATGAAAATTAATGGAGGGCTGACGTATTTAGTGCTGTCAAAGAGGCGGAACCAGTAGATGGATGATTCAGGAGAAGGCTGTGAATCGGCAACCTTGACAAGACTGCAAAAACTTCATGTAAAAAAGAAGTGTTGCCACACATGAGCACAGGTAGCCAAAGGAGAGTACTAAACCAACAAAGACCTGGTTTTATCAGCCCGAACCCAAAAATAATAATAAATAATGAAGAAATTGAACATGTCACAAACGTTGAATCTCTAGGCCCCACATTAAACAGCAGTGGAGACGTTTAACAGAAAGCACCTGGTGGGTGTACATATCAATGCAAAGATTACACAGCATTTGAAGTCTCTGCTTCAGCACTAGCAAGGTAAGTTACCATTCTGCAGCACTAGCAAGGTAAGTTACCATTCTGAAGCTTGCATCTGCCCTGTAACAACCTACCTATGTGAGTTGAGGACTATGTGAGTCCTTAGGTAAGAAAATATGGGCTTTTGAGAAGAAATCCTATAGAAAGATTCTAAGAAAATCGTGGAAAAACAAGACAAAAAATACTGACATCCTAAAAGTGATAAAACAACAATATCACCCCCACCCGCTTTTCCGCTTGCCGTTCACGCTCCAGGAAATTATTTGTGGTTAGACCTGAAGACCCCCCCCCCCTCCTCCCCACTTCCCCTTCTATTCCAACACACCCCATTGTTTTCTCTGTGGCGGTACGCCTGCCAGAAAAGTAGACAAAAGAATGGGAAGAACGCGAACAAAAAGAAAACATAACAAAAACAATTAAAAAGAAGAGCACAAAGAACAAGAACTAATAGATTAATAAAAAGTGTAAGAAGAACGATTACGGACTGGTTAATGCCAGCACATCCTTTCCTTTCTGCAGATGCAACCTTCCGACTCCAACATTTCAACACGCCTTTTGTTTAATCTTGATTTTTCTAAAGTCCGCCCCCAAAGTCGTAAAAAAGCATGTCCTCTATCAACATCTATACGTCGAACCGACACACCGTATTGTAAATGTCCCCTCCTTGAATGGATGTTCTCCTTCTCGTTCTTTGGGTTGATTGAATCCACTCCTGGCATTTTGTTGCCTTCTTGCCAAGTATTTCCCATTTAGTGATTTCACTGGCGTAACAATGCTGTCATCGCAAACAATAGTCTTTGGCACATTAATGAGATATTCTGCTTGGTTGTAAATGCGTGTTTTTTTAAAGGGCGTGATAGTATGGTGGAATGTCTCGTTGCCCTTTCGGAAAGTTTTTGTCCAGGTACATGCAAAAATTTCAAGCCTAAGTTAGCTGGGAATAAATGAGCACACCGAATTGGTTTTGATAGTTGTGTGACCTTTATCCCACTTCCTGGTGATTGTCTTAACAAAATGGTAGTCCATATCAGAATATTTTGGTGGGGCACTCTTGTTCTTCGCTTTCAATTCAGCATAGCGTTCTGGTTGTTCGTTTACTTCTAGACTTTGGCCGTGTTCCAGAACTTGACTTTCACGTGCACATCCGTTTTGCAGACCTGAGTTATTTGTATGCAGACTGTTGGCACCTCGCCTGTCAGGCACATGCATTCCGATTTCCCAAAAGAACATTTACAGCGCGTGTAGAGCTGATGAAACTAGCTCGCACATTTGGCTACTTTCCAGGTCGCTAGTGGATATGCGTGGTAAAGAAATCCTGTGTACAAATAGACACGAGAAACGGAAGCCTTATCCGGACCACAGGACCAACTATAGAGGACCCAGACATGTTCAGAGCCACAACAACCACACAGCCACAATATCTTCACAGCTAAAGACAACAAACCAGCACTCTTTGCATAAGAAACCATTTAAGCTATTACTATATGACTTTGAAACAAATTAAAAGAAATACTAAACTAAAAATGTGTAATTCTTATGTCAAATCAGTACTTTTGTATGGGGCGGAAACATGGAGAACAACTAAGGCAATTACTAATAAATTACATACATTCATTAACTGGTGCCTGCGCAGAATAGA